GGGAAAGCTCGGGCAAAGCATATTCAGGGTACAACACCTCGGGAAAATTCCCGCCGTTTTTTTCCCGCCGTGGTGGGCGGTCCCGGTACTGGCGGTAATTACCGCCACATTCGGTGGTACCGGCAACCGCCGACGGCGGTACCGCCGAAAAACGAAATACCGCCTACCGCCTAAAAAGTACCGCCATATTGCAGTACCGGCGAAGAAGTACCGCCGCCAAAAAACGAAGTACCGGGAACCGCCTAAAAAGAACCGCCATATTGCAGTACCGCCGAAAAAGTATCGCCATACTACATTACCGCCGTAGAAGTACCGCCATACAACAGTACCGCCGTAAAAGTACCGACATGTCGCACGAGCCTGTGAGGTTGTCGCACCTGGGAGAGAAGTAGGCTAGAAGAGTGTACGAAGGGCGATTTTCCGTGTAGAACTAACAGCGGTTCGAGTCCAGCTGGCCTGCATCTTCGTTCATCTTTTTTCTTTTTCTTTTTTCTCTTTTGTCATATTTTTATACTTTTTTTTTTTTTCATAATTTGTTTTTTAGGGTACACCTCAGAAAATTCGCGTCATTTTTTTCCCGCCGTGGTGGGCGGTCCCGGTACTGGCGGTAATTCCCGCCACATTCGGTAGTACCGGGAACCGCCGAAGGCGGTACCGCCGAAAAACGAAATACTGCCTACCGCCTAAAAAGTACCGCCCTATTGCAGTACCGCCGAAGAAGTACCGCCAAAAAACGAACTACCGGGAACCGCCTAAAATGAACCGCCATATTGCAGTACCGCCAGAAAAGTACCGCCATAATTGGCAGTACCGGGAACCGCCAAAGGCGGTACCGCCGAAAAACGAAATACCGCCTACGGCCAAAAAAGTACCGCCACATTGAAGTACCGCCCCGCCTGAATCCGCCTAAAAAACTTGTACCGAGGTGTACCCTGAAAATATTGCTTGTGCGCAAGTCTTAGATTGCAATTTGGAGCCTAGGTGTTGAAATGGGCTCCAGTCTGCTGGATTATTTTCGGAAGGACAGACAGACACAAGACAGACAGGCATGGCTGATTTCCCCCCCCCACACCTCAGTACCCCCCCCCCCCCGGTGTTTGCCATCGGGGTTTGGGTTTTCGTCGCTTGGCAACGACGTTGTAAAACAAGCCCCCCACTCGGTGTTTGCCATCGGGATTGGGTTTTCGTCGCTTGGCAACGACGTTGGAAAACAAGCCAACTCACTTCGTGAACTCGGCAACCAGGTTACCGTTTTTTTATTTTACCTCGTTTTTGTTTTTGGCGGTAACCATAATGAATTGTTGTTGTTGTTGTTGTTGTTGTTGTCTTCACATTAAAAACCGTTCCGATCTCTCTCTACCCAGTACCTTCGTATGTCCGTACTGATCCAACACTCGACGCGGTCGATTCCCGTGGTCACAGGTTAACTTACCCTAAAAAGGTACACTCAAATAAACTGGCCCCGAGGGGTCCGCAAGTCAATAGAAATCAACGACAGATATTCTGGGATCCTCCGCTCCCTCTTCACGCTATGCGGGGTATCAACTGAGATTAGCAGTCACTATCTATCATGGGCCGGAGAGAAAGAGGCACACTCCCTTGGTTCAATCTTGGTACTTCACAACGCAAGCAGAGACAAGTCCATCTGGCACAGAAAAAGAGAGAAAAAAAGAGAGAAAAAAAAGGACAAAGAGAAAAAAAGGAGAAAAAATAAGAATGGAAACCGTAAGGAGAAGAGAAAATAAATGAAAATAAAATGAAAAAATGAAAAAAAAAGGGCGAGGACAAAGAGGGACCAGGCCGAAAATAACAGGAAGTATGAGGCAGAACAAGGCACACGGTGGAGAGACCACTAACGAACAAGCAAACACGCAAACATGGCAATGAATGGTGGTCGAGTAGATCATGTTGTGCGGGGTCGAGAACCCTAACTCCGCGCAACGGGGGATGATCGCATCACGTTGTGTTAAAATGGTCAAGCATCCTCGAGGCAGTTACACAGTGCTTACAACTGTCTCTGGAAGTGAAAGCACCAGAAAATAAATTAAGTCATACGCAGCTGTCATCCGTACGCAAGGAAGTAAGCACAAGATGCCGAACACCCTTAGCAGGATGCAGCTCACCCTTCATGCGACTCGCCAAATACCTCACGGCGCTTCGCGCTTGGTGATGTGAGAGCCTGGTCCGGTGAGAACCCGGCGTGCTCCGTCCCGGCTTTGTAGGGATGCGAGGTCAATGGTCAAACGACTACGGCATGCACGACTATGAGTACACTCCCCCCCCCCCACCTCAGTCAATTTTCTTTTTTTTTGCGCACACAGATGTACATCACGACCCCTCTAAACAATTTTTTTTTACAAAAAAAAAAGCCCCCCTACCGGGCTGCTCTGCAAAAACAACAATTGATTATCAATAACAGAGAACAACATGGTAATCATGCTCGAGAAAAAAAACTATTCTTGACGGGCGTAATAAGAATGCTTGTTTCATCTCTTCTTGCTCTCTACCTTTCAAAATTTCCCCCATGACAACCCTGAAACACACATTTGTTTCTCTCGAGACAGCACGCCTTGATTGCAACCATCGGTCCACTGAATCCACGGGAAAACACGATCCGATTCATGCCTTCTCTCCGTCTTGGTAGATTATCAGTTGACGTTGCCCCTCGCACTACTGGCGAGACCGGCCGCGTCAGAGGAAGAAAGATGGGGCTAAGCGAGTCTCGTAGGGACCCGAAGAAATGGTCTCCTGCCGCAGCCTTCGCTTGTTGGCCTCGTCTATGCGCTTGGCATTGAGCATGAATGGGTACGGGAGTAAATGAGACAGCAATATGACGAGGATCAAAATCTGCGGCCAGTCGGTGTAGTCCCACACCCACGAAATAACGTACGGCGCGATGCTCGCCCCGAAGTTTTGCCCTAACATGGCCACCGACGTCCCCATCTCGGAGGGAGTCGCCATGCGGTTGTTGAGATCGTAGCAATAGCCTACGGTTGGCCCGTCGCAGAGCCCGTATGCCGCGATCCCCGTCCAAAGCACGAACGCCGAGTTCTGGAACACTAGGATTGCCGTCGCCGCCGTCGTCCCGCCGAGGAAGAGGATCGTAGAGTGTCGGTACAGGCGCGAGAGGGTGAGATGTCGCTGGTCCTGTATGCCCGCGAGACGGCCGATGATGATGGCCATCCACAGGACAACAACAAGAAGCTCCGCGTGCGATTCACCGATGACCTCGGTCTCGTCAACGTACCTCTTCAGGTACCCGGCGGCACCCACCTGCCGCACGGTTTTGTCGGATTTGCACGAGGGTTCCGTTTCAGCTGGCTCAGCCACGCAATACGTTTTGTTATTCGTAGATAATGGGCAAAGCAAGAGAATTCCGTATTAGTATGCTTCTTGGATTTTATGGCAACAGAGCCGTGAGAAGGTCGGCGTGTCAACGGTCTTGATGTATGTTATGAGGTTGTTACATGAGCCCGAAGAAGCACAGCAGTTGCTTTTGATAAGGGGCGGGCAAGGCGGTGATGGTATGTGAATTGTCATAAAGACCAATTATTCGTACACAGAGCTTGTTGATGTACCAGCAGAGATATACTGTATACATTCAAGGGTAGCTCGTCCAGCACCATATGTGGAAGGCTATTGAACGAAGATTGGTACTAGAATCACGACATCTTTTGGTTGCTGTCGGCACGTCCACCGATGTGCACCCAACAAAGGGATAAAAATACATCCAGCCACAACATCGGCACCGATACAACCGTGCTAACCATCAGCGAGAAAACGCCGCGAACCCGTGCTCTACAAAAACACAGGAGGGCAGTTGTGTACACATGATATCGATTAGGCAAGTAACAGCGATGGTTTAAGTTTCTCCGGGCACCAAAGTACTTGACCTCTCGACTGTTCACTCAAAACACGTCAAAGGGGTGCCTGTTTTTTCGGCGCACGGGCAGCACCGCAGTCGTAAACCACAAAAGAAGCGTCAGATCGTCGCACAAACTTCTGGTATCAAGAATAACTGAACGGCCGCTGAACAACTGCTGGGCGCGAACGGTGACTAAGGACTGCTGGATTCGTGGCTTGGCATATGATATGAGCTAGGTCATTCCATTTTTTCTGAAGGTCGACAGGAGCGCATGCAAATCGTTAGCACCACAGGAAAAACCAAGTGCTTCGATTGGAGATCGTCCACAACAGAAGCTATGACGGAGACAAAGTGCAATACGCTGCCGTTCCAACCAAAACTGTACTTCGGTAGTCATCCGGAAGCGCAATGAGGCACCTTGTCCCGTTATCACAAGAAAAAGGAAAACGAAGACCACGAACACCCTCTTGCTTCCGGATAGGAACCCTACCTCTCCAGAGAAAAGCCAGAACAACATGCCGCTGATGTGGAACTCGATCTTGTACTTCAAGAAGAACGTGGTTAGCTTGCAGGCGCTGGCCTGGCTTTCCTCCCGTGAACCGCCTCCATCCCCCGCTCGTTGCGCCGGTATCGGCTGCCGCTCCCCCTAGGAAAGTAGGAGGAACAGGACGGAGGAAGCGAGAGACCACCCGCGATTGCGCCGGTGGAGATGAGATGCCTCCAACATTGGCTCGGAGAGAGGCAAAAATTACGACAAAACAGCTACAGAAGACGGCAGCAGGATTCTGGTGAGGAGAAGAAAACGAGAGGGAGCAAGACCCACTACATCGTAAAACACTTTCCATCGAAGAGGCACCGTTAAACCTTCAGCGAAAACATCCCTGCACCGCCGTGTCAATTCTTTGCACAAGCCTGCAGACGATCACAGCAATGGTTCAGCACCGCCACCTCCACCACCGGTAAATCCAGCAGCATAAGAACTAACCTCGTGGAGCCTATTGTTTCTCCCCGGGGTCGGCAGGATGGTCAAGAACACCGCCGTCACGCAGCTCACCACCGACAGGGTGACGTACACGACGAACAGCGACCCGGTCAGGTATCCTATGAGCGGCACAATCACACCTGAGAGGCCGAAAGCGAGCGCGTTGGCTCCCATCCAGGGTCCGGCCTCCGCTCCGTGTAGCTTTCTGGTCATGATCTGGCAGCCCGTGTCTGTGATGGCCGTGAACAGGCCGAGGAGAAGGAAGGCAACGTAGAGGGGGTACACCGAAGTGATGAACGGCATGTATACCAAGACCACCATCACGAGGAGAAGGAAGACGGACATCATCTTGTTGCTCGGTACCCAGAGGTACAGCTTGGAGGATGCCGCCGTGCCCAGGACCGCTCCGACGCCGCGAGCGATTAGAACAGGCCTGACCTGTTTGTTGGGGTGGGGGAAAGAGGAGAGGGGTGTGCTCATTTGGTCAAAACCGTCGTCGAACACAAAACTTTCTTTTGAGAAAAAGAATCGTTCTTTCCCTTCACAGGACGCCACCAGCGGTCGGGTGCTACTACTATGCCAGTAGTGTCTTATTCCTTTTCATTACCATGTACGATGCGCGCTGTATCCACCTGTTTTAGTGGTCGTTTCCTGGGAGATTTGCTACTGCTAGCTCTCTCAGGTCATGGTCAAGTAAGGTCAAGTAGACACCAGCTGTTCTTCTACAATGTACTGCTGTATACAGGGGGGACGAAAAAGCAGACCAACAAAAGCATCTGATTACTGGTAACGTTTTGGGCCGTATATCGAAAAATCAAACTGTGCCCTTTCCAGAGCCTCTATATGTTTTTGCAGTATGAGAACACCCGGTAACCAGCTACATTCGCGTTCAATGGACCCAGAAGATCCGTCATTTTGGTCCAGTTTCGGGCTGCTGCATGCAACTACATACAGTTCACGAGGACACCTCCAGCATCGTTTCTGGTTGTCTGCTGCTGCTGTCAAGTCATGCGACGTCACTCACACACCATATCGGTAGGCTCTGGCAGTTTCGAGCAAGCGTGGTTGCTTGTGGCGTGCTGTAGCTGTCGGCAACGGAAGCACACTTTGCTGCGCTGTTTCACCAAATATCTCGGCGGGGAGATTGTGCTCAAATCGCAATACTTCAAGCTCCTCGATCTCGCGCTACAAGGCCTAAACTGACATGGGGCACAGTTTTGATCGATGGGGTCGCTCACGCTGGCATAATTTCTCCAAAAATATATCGAGGTTTGTGTCTCCTGAGGCTTCAGAAACGGGTATACCCGGGTGGTCTATCAGTATTTTAGGGTACACTTAGAAATCAACACGCATGCACCCCCAGGGGGCCAGCGGCATCTCGAGACCCTCCCGTGTAACCGATGCTGGTTGCTGGTGTACCCGGAAGGGGTCGATTTTGTACCCAGAAATGGTCATAGAATGCCGGTGCCCGACGACTCTAAAAGTCGCAGAAAAAAACTGTGTACCGCACATACCCGCACTACACACCATGTACCGCACATACCGCACGGCAGTCTCAGCAGTAGCCACACAACCAAGCCACCAACGCTTATTGACTCGTGGGCCCCCACAGAGGGTCGAACTCGCTCGACGCGCGAGTTAAGCTCGCTGTGGCGCTGGTAAGTAAGCACAGAGAGCACAGAGAGACAAAACGGCACGACCTGCCTACAGCAATGCTTGACTCATGCTTCGAGGCACAGGACACGGCCGTTTGGTTTCACCGCGATCTACGGAGGAGGCTGTCGGAGATTGGCATCCTCGGGAGGCGGTGCCCATCGACGACCGTTGGTGGTTTGGTTGCTTAGCTACTGCTGTGGAGTACGTGAGGTACATGGTGTGTTGTGCGGGTAAGCGCGGTGCACGGTTTTTTCTGCGGGTGTTAGAGTCGTCGGGCGCAAGGATTATATGGCCATTTCTGGGTACAAAGTAGACCCCTTTTCTGGGTACACCAGTAACCAACATCGGTGACACCAGAGGGTCGAGATGCCAGCGGCAGTTGTACCCCATCGAGGTTTCTCCAAAAGCAAGTACGATGGTGTTTCGGCCAATCAGCTGACTGCCTGAGGGTGCCTGTGTGTTGATTTCTAACTAGCTGTGCCCTAAAATGGGTACCTGTTTCTTGTTACTTGTCTTTTTTATCGAGCAGTTTGACCTGTGAGTAAAAACAATTTATGGTTGGGGGAAAAAACACCTTATGTGGTGGAGCCCCGGGGACACAGGGGGCGGCGAGGAGCCTGGTGTAGCATTAAGGCCGTGTATTAACGAAGGGTCGAAAATCAAAATGGAAATGGGCCGAAAATCAAAATCTAAATGCGTTATCGTGGAAAACTGAAAAAAGGGGGTCGACCACGTTAATGTGGATAGGAGACAGATGAGGCAAAAAATCAAAAAGACCTGGCGCCAGGGGAAGAGCCAGCAGCGAAGCCGTGATTCTAGGGTAGGTTTTGCGCTCTTCTGTTCTCGTGTTAGCCGATATCTCGCCAAATAAAGAACGACTTGCATCAAGAACGGTATCCGCAAGGAGATGGTACTATGGGCTGTTGGGCAATGCCAATGTTTGGCGCCGTGAAGTGCCGAATGCGCCGGGAAAAAAACGTTGTGTTGAAGCAAAAATGCCAACGGTGGCGAGCGGTCACGTCAAGTTCGGTGATTTACATTGCCACCAGTTAGGTTTTCCACCGATAACTTTTCGAAGGAGAAAGCAACAGCCACAGCAACGCCACTCGGCGGGAGGTACCTCTCTGCTCCATCTTTCAAGCCCAAGGTCTGCTACCGCGGGGTAACGTGCGTATGTGTATCGGGAAAAAAAAATTGCTTGTCGCTCACCGATCTCGACGATAGAAGAAGGATTGTTTGGAAAATTGCAGACCGCTAGTCTGCAGTGTATCACAAGGGCTACAATCTCAGACACTACGAGTAGCATTGTACATAAGCGACCGCTGCGGACGGTTAACTTGCGATGGTAGTTTCGTACGGCTCCACCCCATACATAGGGGTCCAACAAAAAAAAAGAGATTAAAACATTTTCGCGCGAAGCGCGAAAAGAAGGGGCGGAGAAAGATATCAAATCAAGGGTAGATAGATACTAGGGTTAAGGATTGGCCCCCCGCCCCCCAATGGGGCTGTGGGCCAACATCCAGGACGGATGGTGGTGAGTGTCCGGGAGGAAGGAAAGAAGAAGAAGGGGAGAGGATTTGTAAGGGCGGGAAGAAGGGACGGTGTCGGGAGAGGCAAGGAAGTGATGAAGAATTTCGGCACTCGACGAGCGCGCGGTCCCGTCGGGGGTGAAAGGAACATGTCAGTCCGTAGTCTTGTCTATCGGAATCGAAAAGCCGAAAAATCGAGGTACATTATGTACACAACGACGGAGAAGGCCGACGAGGAAGGTACGAAGAGAGGAAATTGCACCCCACGTTCGAAGTCGGTGTGTGAAAACCGCCGCAAGGATGGAGTGCGAAGGGAACAAAAAAAAAAACGGAGACGTCGACGTTTGCGTCGTGGAGCGATCCTTCTGTATATCGCAGGTACTCACCAACGCAAGACGGGGAGGTAAAATACCCATCGTGAAAGTCAAAGCGCAGGTCATAGCTACATATGACTCATGCGCGGAGAAGTTACCACACGGAGACTTATCAACAAGAAGTTTGAAGGCCGGCTGAGAAGGTTTGAAGACACAAACACTTACGCGGCGACGATGGCAAGCGCAACGTCAAAACTTCACAATGTCTGGGAAATCGTAGACATTCAGGTACTTTCTGACGCTATGAATCCAGTGCTAATCTGTCTCAGACTCTTTTCTATGATTGAGATGGTTTCATTGTGTCATATTAAGAAAAATAAAAAAAAAGGCCGGATGCCGACCTATGGCTCTCTCTCTCAGAATGAAGGGATTCCCACAATTTCCAACAGGTAGTCCACAAGTATCGAGGAGGACGTCGGAACGGTTTTTAATGTGGAGACAACAGCAACAACAACAACGATGAAGGTCGACCCGTCCTGCGTCGTTCAGTGTAAAATGACAAATGCAAAAGGTTGACTGCGTAAAGATCCAGCGGTCTTTTTCGGCAGTGGCAAAGAAATATGCGACCACATGCCGCGAAAAAAAAAAAAGTTGAGCGGGATACTCTAGTCTATTATAGTAAATAGAACACCGCCTTCTCTGTTGTTGCAGGCAGGTTTGCTTCCACAACCCGGGAGTCCAACCCACTCTTGTATTTTGGCCTACAAGACTCCAATCGACACAAGCACCGGTAGGAGAGTGCGTGGGAGATGCCGTGACAGCACAACTCCACTCTCCTACGACATCTATGTACAGTAGTACTGCTGTCGTTGTAGCACCATGTGGAACATCTCCGAGGGATTCTCCTGCGCGGTAACGACAACATGGCGAGAGCTCTACGTGTACCTGTCGTCGACACATGTGGCAGCCGCGCGACACACGAACGGATGTTTGCATCGCATTGTACTATGGTTCGCCGTGGCAGGAAGTATCCCATCCCGTTAGGTCGTTGCGGTACTTGTAGCACGCGGACGTCGTTCGGCGTCTAGTCCATACTGCTGTAGCAAAAACACAGCAGCAGTAAAATCGAGCTATGCATGAATTTTTTTGCTCTGGTTCACTTTTGCCTCCACAACCCGAGAATCCCACTGCTGTATCTCGACCTACAAGACTCCAATCAACAAACCAGCACTGGCAGAAGTGCGTGGAAGATGCCGTGACAGCACAACTAAGTCGACACTCGTACGACTTCCATGTAAAGTCGGCGTCTGGTCCATATTGCTGTAGAAATTCAAAAATCGAGCCATCTTTTTTTTATTTTTTTCCATACTAATAACAAGAAATGTATCACGTCACGACGACCATCCTGTAAGTATATATATAACATGATGGATGGAGCCTACACCACCACAGAGGTCACCAGTGCACACGCTCACACCTCACCCGACACCACCAGTCAGTCAGGGGATGACTGAGATCGCTGTTTAGCTCTCATAATCATCAGCTACATGTAGCTGCTGCTTCTTGCTGCTGCTGTGGCTGCTGCCGTGCAGGATGGGTGTGCACTTGCTTTCCTCGCTTTCGCTGCTAGCAACGGGCAACGGGCTCTAAAAATCGGTCCGAATATGCCTCCTACGATGTGTATATTTGGTCGCCCTCGGCCTCACTTGTCTCTGTGTCGGGGGTGCTTCTGTGGTGGAAGCAAAGATCGGCCTGCAGACGAACATACCGCAGACAGATTTGACTTGTGTGCACTCGCAGGTTCCCTCGGTTGCGCTGCTAGCAGCAGGCCTCGGGGTTAAAAATAGCTTCCGACGCCAGCCACGACGTGTGCCTTTGGCCAGCCTTGGCCTACAGCAGTGTGTACGTCTCGTTGTCTCTGTTGTGTGGGGATGCGTCTGTGTGGGAAGCTCCAAAGATCGGTAGGTTGAGGTGATGCAGACGGACCGCAGATTGACTTGCGTCGTCACTCGCTTGTGCTGCCGACAGCAGGCAACGGGTTGTAAGAGTCATTCGCAACGCCTCCTATGATGTGTGCCTTTGGCTGCCCTTGGCCTACAGCAGTCCGTATGCTGCTGTGCTGGTTGTCTCGTACGTATGTTGTCTGCGTGGTGTGTGTGGTGCTGCTGTGTAAGAAGATTTCGGGGATTCTCCCGAGAGCGTCGTGCCCATCGCCCAATCATCTGTCTCTTTCTTACAAAATGTCTTACAAAATCGACGTGTGATCGGTGGGAGATGGGTGTCTACCCGGCTCTACCCCTCTAAAACCTAGAAAATTGTTGGAAGTTGTTCCGTATCTTACAAAAAAATGCCTTATGTATCGGTGCCTACTGGAGTTATAGCCTTCGGAAAACTGAGATATGCAGGCGTTTCCAGAGGAGGCACTGCGACCCCCCCTGCGGGCGCTAACTGCTGCTATATTGTATCTTGATGGAGGGCAGCCAGCCCTGTTCCAGTTTTATATTCCAATAGCAGCAGTAGCCGCGGTTGGTTGTATTGAGCGCTCGATGGTAACGCCTACTGCTACTGCGGTACATAGATTACAAAGTACTTGGCTACACAACATGTAGACTAATTTCACCACACACACCGTATGTCACTCGATGTATCTCTCACGTCGATTGCTGTTTTCCCGCAGTTGTTTGCGAGGTCGTCCAGCGTCAACACGAGCGCCCCCAGTACCATACCACACACTCCAAAGGCTAGCATGTACCCCATACCGAGCGCGTACTTGTGGTTCTTCGGCACATCCTCCTCCGGTGTTGTCACCGTTGATACCGGTGCCCTGTCCTGACTTCTTGTCGACGATGATGACGGTGATGACGAACGACTTAATAAGAAGGTGGTTTCACGTTCAGTTTGGTAGCTCTCGTACTGGTTGTTGCCGTCCGGACCCGCCATCTTGTTGGGCCGCGGCGGGCGGACGCGGCCTCCGCCTAGCTATATGTAGACTGCTGTGCTTGTTGCGCGTTGAGCGGGTGGTAAGCCTTTAGGCGATTCCACCTGAACGCATCCGCACGCCGAATCGTTTCCTGTTGTTCAGCTGCTGCTGCTGCTGCTGCTTGACGCCGCCCACGGCAGTATAAGGGTGACACCAAGACACCCAAAACGCGTGCCGCACCGGGTACCCAGTTTATTGGTGAGTGCAACGCTGTATCACAGAGACACCTAGAGAAAGTTCTGGGAAAAAACTTGACAGTCTCGTGCGGAGTATGCCATTCAAATTGTGTGTGACATGTGCGTGACACACGTTCCTGGTCCTGATAGACGCCACAATGCGCGGACAGCAGAGAGGACGGATGGTGAGGATGGTGGGGGCATGGGCACACATGGGCGTGATGAGCTGAACGACAATGGCAGGCTGCTGTTGACCTTCGCAACGGACAACAAGCTGACATGTGTAGCAATCACCAACACCTTCTCGAGCGAGACACGCAAGGAAGGGCAGAATATAGCACGCATACAACGGTACGTCAGGGACGACCGCACGCGCTTCGACTACATCCTAACGCGACAGGCACACCAGGGCCAACTATCTAACGTAGTTGTCATCCCCCAGCCATCCCCCAGCCGGCACGGTCAGCCAAGATGGAGACTCAGATCACGACATATGGTGATAGCTACCGTCAACCTCGATAGCAGGCTCCCACAACCGAGCAGTTCAGACCAAACGAAACAGAAGCAGTTTCAGCCGGCGGGAGTTTCAGGTCGAAGCAACGCGATGGGCGGTGGCTGACCGGTTCCTCCTCAACCTCGACTAACGATTGGACCAGTGAGCGGCCACCACCCCGGAGATGGCCACCGAAACCACCAATGCTCTCCTCGAAGCGGCGAGGGCGACACTTCCCGGGGAACCGCCGAGACGACACGCACGCGCGGGAGAGGTTTGAAACCACAGAGACGAGAGCAGCCTTGGAGGACGCCCTTACCAAACGGCGGGAAGCGCGCCACGGGATGAAGGGCAATCAGAACCCAACAGCATGGAGGACCCTCAGAGCAGCCTGTAGGGGAGTGTGGCTGCAGCAGTCGAAACGGGCATCTACGCCCACCTGGACAGATATGTGACGGAACTCGAAGCGATCTATAGAAGGAGCGAGACGTGAGAGGACTCCACAAACACCTCAAGAGATCGGTGGGCCTCAAATGGGAAAGAAGTGGGAGGACAGCAGTTCGTCGCCAACGAGAATGGTGTGCTGCTCCTGAACAACGATGGCACCCTTCAGCGGTGGGTGAAATTCTTCGGCACCCTCCTCAACACCAAGTCCCCCGCCCTGAACCCAGACGTCAATAAGCAAGTGACGCACGACAGGCAACACGTGCCACTCGACGGTTGGGAGCGGCGCCAAACCTCGAGGAGGTGGAACGGGCAACGAAAGGCCTGCAGAACTGGAAGGCACCCGGCCATGACTCCCTGCCTGCCGAGTTGCTCAAGATCGATGTCGACTAACCAAGATTCGAACCCCTACAATTTTATATTAATTTGCGCCCGATATAGACTATGAGAATAAAGAGTCTGAAGAACTAGTCTAGGCTTTGTAAATACGCCGATGACCTGCTTGTATGGATCTGGCAAGCACAGCGCTGATCACAGGGACGGAAACCCTGGGGGGATGTGTTCGTGGCTTGAAAGAAAGCTTGACGGACTCGGGCATTAATTTTTGTTGAGAAGCACGATGACCACTACACCAATAGTCAGCGCTCACTTGTGGTGTAGTGGTCATCGTGCTTCTCAACAAACTCCTGAATATCCCGAGCTGAATCACGGGCTTCGGCTGCGGTCACAGGGATGGCAACCCTGGGGGGGGCGTGTTCGCGGCTTGAAGAAGTCTTGACGAACTCAGGCATTAACTTTTGTTGAGAAGGCTGACTAGTGGTGTAGTGATCATCGTGGTTCTCAACACCCACCGTACTGGGGCGACTCCATGCCATCCTCGATAAGGTGTGGAGCGGAGGAGAGATCCCAGGTAGAAGGTGATGAATCAACTTGACTCAGCGAAGAGTTTCTCCCCAACCATGCCTCCACCCAAGTGTTCGTCCCTGACAGCAAAATCTTGTTCCTTGTGGTCCAAACCACATTTTCTGCTGGCTTTAGGCCTCAAAAACACACCGACCGCCAAAAGTAAACTCCAAGATGTACGATATACTGCCGAGTCCTCCTCGCGCCATATTTGGCGCAGTTTGAATGTTTTCTGCGCAATGCGCATGACGACGCTGGGGTTGTAAGCAAACACGGTTCGGTTGAAAAATACAGAGCAAATGTTTCGTTCAACAAACTATATCTCGCCACATCGATGGGGATCAGTCGGCTCGGTCGTAACGACACAGCAGCATAGACAGCTGATCACATGCCACGTACGAGTGCACCTATTAAATGGACACACCACGCGGTGCGTGTGGCCTGAAATACGCCACGCCAAACGGCGACGGGGGTAACAGCCCACGGACAATTGTCTCTTTGAAGAAACTCCAAACATCTCACAACAGGGGCATTGGGGCACCGGGCACACCGAAGATGCCGATCGTTACCTTGTTGTCGGAAAGGATAGACTCGCGCAGAACAACGCAAGCCTCGACAGCATTTCAGGTGACTGCTTCCGAGGAATGTTGTGTCACACACAGCAAAAATAGCTGCAGTATTTTTGGCATCAGACACCGGAAGAGCATCATCATCAACCGAGTCGCTCCTGCAACAAAAAAGCGCGCGAGGCAAGAACCTAATCCTACCCCCCAAAAACAAAGACGCGCTGCTACACAATGTGACGTTCTTTGTAGATGTGTACTTCTCTGTCGGCCTGCACCCACCAAGAACCACGATGACAGGAGCAAAGCCACACAACACACGCAGCAACAACAGACAACCTAGGTCGACGGTTTCGGTGAAATACGTCTTGCTTGGTACGATGCTACCGCCACCACCCCCACAAACACAATTTGCTTTCATCAAGGGCGCGATGTAGCTCTCATCCCGACCCGTGTACGCCGACAACGACCCACCAATCTATCTTCTGACTTTTACTTTGGTACCGCCACCGGTGCTTCTTCGTCAAGAGAGCTAGTTTTCAGCCGCTTCTTGGCGATTTGCTTCCACGTGTTTTCTTCTCTGAGGGCGGCGGCTTCCTCCGCTCCGGAGTTCGACGCTTCCACTCGCGACGTCTCCTTAAACTCCGGGGTGAAGAACGGCTCTAGACGGTTGAGAAGCTCTGCCGGAACTCTCGCCTGCCGCACACCATGAGCAAAACGAAGAACAAGAACAAAAGGGTTGTAGGGAGAGGCTAATGGTCCACGTAGCGACAAATGAAACAGTTCAAAGAGCTGAGGCGAAATTAGCAACAATACCAACAACAGCGACGGCGATGACGATGATAAGCGAATAGAAAAATGTGGTCGGGGTGCAAAAAAAGGCAAGTCCAGCGACAAGGGCCGAGAGACTAGCGCCAGCGAGGCTGCCGTGGTAGATGTACCGAAGGCAAACACACGTCGACACAGGCGAAAGCGATCGATCTTGGGAGGTTCCACACCGCCAAAAAAAAAATACAGGATGCGATTATTCAGGTCATGGAGGAAGTCTTGTTGCATTCCCAGCCAAACTACACACTGACGCGAAGAGGAAAAACAGACCCGGGTGCTACCATCGAAAATACTCGCACCAACAACGGACCCATCTCCCACAGAGACACCCCTTGTACTACCGGCTTGAGACACAATCCAAGTCCTGCTTCCACAGCACACGCAGCCGTCATGCTGGTGCGATCCCCCAGGACGGCCGCCCAGGCGCGTGCACGAGGGCCTACCAAGGAACACATATAGCCGGAACGCCCCTCTAGGGCACACACTCGAAACATTCAAAAAAGTGCCTCCTCCATCACGCGGGGGAAAGGAACGGCAACCAACCGCCTCGGTGTTTGGAACGGGCTACTTCTTGCTGCCGGCTAGCGCGTACAGTAGTAGGTCGTGGAGGCTCTCCCCAATGAACGTCGTCGCACCTGGATGAGGGTACCGGCGTCGGTGTATTCTTCGGTGTCGCACGCGCCCAGCTCGTGCACGCGGCTGAGCAGGTCCCCCCTGCTGTAGGGCACGACCGCTTCCACCTTGAAGAGCAGTGCGCATATCGCCTCCTGGTGGTGCACAAAAAACAAAACATATAATGTACATATACAGCGGTTTTACGCGAATGTTGCGCAGGCACGCGTGAATGATCGCGAAGGTAGGCGAAAACCCACATGGACAATACAGCGGCGACTGGCTAAAGAGAGGCAAGGCCGGAGGAACAGTAAATCTAGAAGCACACACGCGGATTTGCCGACAGGTCAGCGCACCTCCTCTCGCCACAGGGAGCACAGCCTCCAACTGGTTCGGCACAGACGGCGACGCAAGAGAGCTAAGGAGGCACATGACGACGGGAAGGAACTACTTAATCGTTCAAAACATTCCCTTTGTCAACTACCTCCAGACACGTGACGAAGTCGTCCAGGCCCTCGCCCGTCATGGCGCTCGCGGCGACGGTGAGCTCGTCCCTCTCTTCCGCGTCCACCCTGACCTGCTCCTGTTGAGTCAATTACAGAAGAGGTCGTAGCGCCGCAACGGAAGCACAGCACAGCACACGACTCGGATAAAAAAAAAAACGTCTTGCGCCCGATGAATACGACTTTCGGACTACAAAAGTCGCCTCTTGATTCCTATGAACACAACAGCTCGGACTACAGAAACTGCTTCTTGTATCCCATGAACGCAGCAGCCACCGTCATGGTGCCTCTGAGGGTGGAACCCGCCGACGGAGCCGGCCGGCCGCACGCACGTCGTGTGGGGCGTGACAACGCCCCTCTCGCTTGTATCCAAGGGAGACACGTCTGTTTTCTTACGCACATCACTAATAGCGTAGGTTGTGGACACTGCTGTGTCACACACCACGTTGCTGTCGGCCGTAGCTTCCATGTACCTAGAAGCTAGGGTTAGGGTTAGAACCGTAATCTCTGCTGCATCCTGACTACGGGGCAATCCGAAGCCTTTACAACAATACCCACGCCCCCACTACTGTGTCTGAATCGTTCGCACCTCTCCTCTAACTATGAGACAGCTAAGGCCCTTGATGGGCGCAAGCACAGGATGCACGGTACCTGTTCTTCTTCTGGGAGCAGATCGAGCTTGTTCCACATGGTCAGGCGGGGCTTGTCGGAGGTCTTCATCTCGCCGAGGACGCCCGTGACGGCGCTCTCCTGTTTCTCTCGAGACGGGGAGCTCACGTCCACGATGTGCACGATCACGTCTGCCTCCACGACCTGCAAGGCAGACGACGCCGTTACAAACGTACGGAGTGAGCCATCTCCGTGTTTTTCAGGAGCAGGACACTGCGGTTGTCTTCCAACTCCTGCGCCCCCCCCCTGTGGGTAGTAACCCTCACTTACCCTTTGAGAATAAAGTATTCGTGTTTTTTATCTCGCTACTACTACAAGACTGGCGTCTTCTTTTCATTGGTCAGCCGGTTAGCGCCGTCGATGCTGATCAAGAAAACTCACGTACGCTCCCAAGGCAGAAAAAAATCACAACGAAAATTCGGCGAAAATACAAGCACGCCGTAGGAACCTATTGGAAAAATAGGAGATGAACCCAATGCCCGGACTACGAAAAACGTAAACTGCACAGCAGTTGTACAACTTCCAGGACACAAAATATTCCTCTTCCAGTACATACAAAACGGCCGTAGATTACCTCTTCCAGTGTCGCTCGGAAGGCCGCCACGAGGTTGGTGGGCAGCTTCTGGATGAAGCCCACCGTGTCCGTCAGCATCACCTCTGGGTGCACCTGGTGGCGGTTGGTTGTCACGGGCCGTGAGCAATGCGATCGATGCAGACCTTTGTGTACTGCCGCTGTAGTAACGTAGCCTCAGCCCCCACATACCGGTGATACTGCTACATTAGCAGGGAGGGCAGTCTCAGCTCCAGGTGTTCCTACTAATTCTGTAGCAGGTTGGCCTCAGCTCCTTGTTTTGACACTACTAGTGAAAAAGAGGTTAGCCTCAAGCCTATCCTGGCTGCTTGTCATATGAAGCCGCCCCGAAACCGCCATTTCCGCCCATGCTCATCCTTCACACAAGACAGTAGGCGGCCGATGATAGATGGCCAGGTCGTGTATTCTTGTTTTGCTGCGCTTGTGGTCTGCACTTCGCTGCCACGCGCAACCCCCCCCGCACTCTTAACACTTCGGACGCCATCCCACCAACACTCTGCGCTGCCAATGTCGCCCCGTTATGTTCCCTCTGGTCTCTCCAACTGTCACGCCGGTCTCACGGCATCCACAATCGGTCCTTTTGGCTTTGAATTCGTGATCCGCACTTACCCTTCACCTCATTCTTCTCGGTCATCTTGCCACCAGCAGCACCCTGTGTGTTTCGGCTGCGCACCAGCTAACCAAGCACGTAAAAGCGCAACGGTAGACGTGCCTTGCACACCACGCCAAAACAACACCTGTGAGGCCGCTGAGCTTCACCTTAGGCCATGGCAACCAAAATCAAAATCCCATGCACCCAACAACGAGGTACGACCGCGCTATGGGCCTGACCCTACGCACAAGGAACCCGAGCCGAGCCACCAATACCACCACTGCGCACACGCACACTTCCAGGGACCTTGATTGTACCCGCTGGCGTTGACGTCTTTTCATTGGTCAGTCGATTAGCGCGGGCGATGCCACTAAAAAAAAAAAAACACACACACACACACACAAACCTACGCCACAACATTGTACCACGCCCACCTTGAGGCCGCTGAGCTTGACCTTCCGCGTGGTCGGGTCGAGCGTCGCGAACAGCATGTTCTCCGCCATGACGCCCGCGCGCGTGAGAGTGTTGAGCAGGGTCGACTTCCCGGCGTTGGTGTAGCCGACGAGGGCGACGACCGGAAGGCCGAGCTTCTTGCGCCCGCGCCGCTGGAAGTCTCGGTGCCTGCGGACCCCGCTCAGCTCCTTCTTCAGGGCGATGATCTTGTCCTTCAGGAGCCGCCTGTTTTGTGTGGTTGTGGGTTTCGTACACGTCATTTTGCGTAGGTCGGGGGTGTTTTTTGTGGGCCTTCTTGATCACGTGGGTTTGTGCTAAAAGGGGGGGTGTTCGATTCACTTTTTTTATGTAGTGCGAAATGCAATACTTGGTTTGATTTGAAGAATGAAGGCGATGATATACGGTAGTCCTACTTGCTCTTGACGTGATTTTGCTTAGTGTTGCGAGTGGTCATGGTGGGTTTTCGCTCTCCTTGGGTCATATTTGAGTTGGTCTACATGGCCGACAACCTCTGGCACATTCACGGTTGGAAGAGTAGAGAACACAGGCATGCTGCACACAAAGCCCGAAACTCTTCCTAGCAGTGACAGGGCCCCATGATACCAAAAACACCAACGAAGGCAAGGAGGAATGGCGACAGCAACCCCAGACAAGCGTGTGCTACCTTCCTGAACAAGCAGGAGGCAGTCGCACCATACCCCCCCCCCCCCCCTTTACCTCCCCCAGTGTTTGCCATCGGGGTTGGGTTTTCGTCGCTTGGCAACGATGTTGTGAACCAAGCCGCCCCCCCGGTGTTTGCCATCGGGGTTGGGTTTTCGTCGCTTGGCAGCGATGTTGTAAAACAAGCCGATCGCTTCGTGAGCTCGGCAACCAGGGTACCGCTTTTATTTTTTGTGCCTTTTTTTTTTTTTGCGGTAACCATGAACGGTGGTCGAGCAGATCATGTTGTGCGGGGTCGAGAACCCTCACTCCGCGCAAAGGGGATAATCGCACGTTGTGTTAAATTGGTCAAGCACCCTCGAGGCAGCTACACAGCAGTGCTTACGACTGTCTCTGGAAGTGAAAGCACCAGAAAATGAATTAAGTCATACGCAGCTGTCATCCGTACGCAAGGAAGTAAGCACAAGATGCCGAACACCCGTAGCAGGACGCAGCGCACCCTTCATGCGACTCGCCGAATACCGCACGGCGCTTCGCGCTTGGTGATGTGAGAACCTGGTCCGGCGAGAACCCGGCGTGCTCCGTCCCGGCTTTGTAGGGATGCGAGGTCAATGGTCTACCGACTACGGCATGCACGACTATGAGTACCCCCCCCCCCCCTTGGTCCGGTGAGAACCCGGCGTGCTCCGTCCCGACTTTGTAGAGATGCGAGGTCAAAGGTCTAGCGACTACGGCATGCCCGACTATGAGTACCCCCCCCGTCCCCACACCGAGAAACGCCTCCCAACCTGTCGACTTCAAGCTGGCGCTCCCCGGGCCCCCGAAGGCCGACGCCTCCCTGCTGCCTCTCCAGGTGGGTCCACATCTTAGTCAGCCGCGGCAAGCGGTACATGTGCAGAGCCAGGTCCACCTGGCACGTGTTGTCCATCCAACACACAGGCAAAACGGGGGTCGTGATCATTCGCGAATCGCACCACGAGTGCAGCCGGGGCGACTCTGCTGTTGGCGTAAGGTCACACACGTCAGAACAAAATGATGGCTGTCATCGTGCTGTGCTGTCACACGCCGATATTCGAACTGGCGGAAGAGACGAGCAAAAAAGGCTGAGGGGCCAATGACGAAAATCGAACTCAACCATGGGAAGGGGTCCGCGCTTCGTAAAGTGGGGTGTGTAACTAGCCGGTAAGCTTATGAGCAAGGTGCCAGGTCATCTCGTAGCTGAACGCAGCGCGTCTCTACCCTTGCCGTTATGAGTTCGACGCGTCAGTGTCCGAAAGAGATTTAGTAGTCTAGCCACCACTGCTTGCTGCCAGGGGTTGGCTGCCCCACTCCAGCTGGCGGAATACTGGGCGTGAAAGCACGAATTCCGAATCTACAAACGGGGGTGTGAAAAAAACAATGTAGGTGGGAGGCGGAATCGAACCCACCGCATCGCGGATGCCAGCGTGACAAGAAGGTATTGTCCTCAAAAGACGTTGGGGAGATGTGTGGCCCTTATAGAAGGTCACCTCCGCACGAGGGAGAATGTTGTGTTTCCGAACCTGTGCTTACCGCTACTGCTGCAAATGCAATCCACTCCCGGACTCCGTTGACATGGTGAAAGGAGTTCGCCATCTATTTCTCTAGTCAAGTCACCTGAAGCTGCCCCTCCCGGGTCTTGGCGTGCTGAGCAAAAATGTCCAGAATGAGGGCTGTGCGGTCCAGCACCTTGGGAGAAAGAAAGTTTGAAGGACGGGGGGAAGCGTGAGAGTTGTTTGACCGATTGAACCTAAGGTTGGTGGTAGGGCTCAAGGCGAACGTCGTGTGTGTGGGGCTCAGCAACTTCCGGCTGACCTAATAGGGCAAGGACTATAGGGTTGGGCGGTAGCGTCAGCATCGGGATAGTAAGGCTGAGGGCGGAGAGTTCCAAGCACCTTGCGAGAAAGAAGGTTCAGGGCAAGGGATAGAGGTGGAATTAACGCACGAATGGTAGTCTCAGGGCCATCAGTGGTGCGTCGGCGACAGGCTGAGGGCGGCGCGCTAGCCAGCACCCACCTTGATGCCCGCCGCCTCCCCACCGAACTCCACTTCCAGGCTGCGCTGCTGCCCCGGGCTTAGCTCGTCGTCGAAGATCACCGTACACACGCCCAGTTGGTTCATGGCCGACTTGATCTCTTTCACCTGAGACGGAAAAGAAGCGCGTGTGAAAAACGATGGCTCAGGGCGGGGGTGACGCAGGAAGAGTATGGTGGTGATGGGGGGTGATATTGGAGGGGCTGGTTGAGGGTGCAGACAGGGAGGGCTGGGGGAACTTCTCGGCGCATGGTCCGCCAGCGACCTTTCATGGCGTAGCGAAAGGAAAGACGAGAATACTCTATGTGGCAGGCAGCAGAGCATGGGGTGGGGGGTGGGGGGGGGTGGGGGCATTGCTTGACCCCTTGCCTGCAGCTTCCCTCGCGCCGTGTTGCCCAAAATGTTGACAAATAGACACCTTGGGTATCAGGGGCGGCGTCAGCTAGCCCAGCAGCAGCACAATAAAACGATCGTTCCCAAGAAAACGAAGCATCACATCGCCTCTGCTATTTATGCTGCTGCAAGGTATCTAAAAAACACCCACAAAACAAGGTACAAGTACAAATGTGCTGCACCTTTCCGGTTCCGATATAGGTTCGAGGGTTGGGCTCTAGCACCCTCTGGTACGTCGATCCGGCTACTTCCAGCCCCGCTGTGCCCGCCAACTCGCTCAGCTCAGCCATGGACTCCTCCAGAGTAAAGCGCATTTCCCGCTCCTCCTTTCGAGCCTTGAACAATTGGAGGCGAAGCCACACGGGGGGAGCAGCGGGTCAGACGGACAAACAGACGGAGAGCAGATCCGACGACGAAAGCAACAGGAAGAAGAGAATCACAATGGAATAACTACACAGAAAAAGAGAGAGAGAATTTGCATATGTGTCGATGTCTGGAGGTTTTTCTGGTCAAGATGGTACGCGGGACCTTCCTCTCCAAGAAAATTTTCTGTGGCCGATTTATCGGGAACTGCTTCTTCGCGTTCGATGCACGCCTTTGCTACCGCCGCGTGTGATCTTGTTCCATACGGAGAACCTCCAGTTTTGGGTGTCGGTGCTGTTACGTCGAGCGTGTGCTGTTCGTTCACCTCGTACGCCAGCTGCTTCTCCTCCTGGAACGCCGCTTCTTGCTCTTCGGTCCACCCGTCGTCCTCGCCCCCCTCTCCGTCGCCGTTTCCTGCGATCAGACCACATCACGTCGCATCACATCCCATCCAAGCACAAAACCGTCACCATATCGCATCCCGTGCCACCACATCACCGGGATCGAAGTGGGACGAACAAAGCCGTGAATATATGACGCTCTGCGTGAAGACTTGCAAGGAACTCAGATACGCCTAAGAGGCCGTTGAGAAACCTTGGTAGAGACGTCGCGCTCTCATCGAAAGATGGAAACGCAGAAGGCATCGTTTGACTGGCTATACAGGTTGCGGCGATGGTGCTTCACTTAGTTAATAAAAGCTTGTACACACCCAGCCAAGCCCGTCAAAACAAGCTCCGTCTGTGAAGCACACCCCAACAGAGGCGATACATAGTGGACAGTTGGCACAGGCCCGCTAGTAATAACCTCAACAGCAGTTCTTATGCCCGGTCGCGACTCGAACGGTTAAGAAGCACCACCACCACCACCACCACCACCACCACCACCACCACCACTAAAGAAGCAGCAATAGCACAACCTGTCACCGCATCACGGCGTACACCTCGACAGCAGCTCGGCATACTCACACCAAAAATATCAACGACACCACCCTACGTAGGAAAACGTCACGTGTTAAGCCTCACCGGCTGCTGCCCCTTTCTCGGGGAAAGACCCCTTCGTGTCCCTTTTGTTGCCCATGCCCCAACCGCTAGCCTCCAGCCCCACGAGGTAGCACCTCTCTCGCTCTCCCGTCACCTAGATACGACCGACGAACCACGTGGAAGGAAAAATTGAGCAAAAGTAGTTTCGGAAAGACCGGGGGCGGGAAACGGTGAACCCATCCAAAATATCCACTCGAGTCCCGCACCGGGGTCGGCGCTCGTTCCCATATGCTCACCGCTGTTCGTCTCAAAAGGTATGTACCCCTAATGCTGTGAGCAATAGCTTTCTGTCGCAAGATCACGACACATGTAGTATCGTTACCTTTGGGTCGTAGAACCGGACGGATCTCTCCATCAGCATGTCGTCCAGGCCCCTCCCCATGTTAAACCTCTCCCCGAGCACCACATCGTCGTCGGGGACCTCCATGCCGTTCCGCCAGCTCTCCGGCCCCACCCCGTCCCCCAGCCCCCCCGGCAACACGCCGCCGTCGGCGGTCGGGATGAGGAGGGCCTCGTCGCCGGAAACGCCGCCGGCCATCATCCCGTTGTCGATGTCGATGCCGTCTTCCGCCCCGGCGAGGGCGTCGTTGAGCCCGTACGCCTCCACGATAGGCTTCTCCCCCTGCGTCTCCCCTTCCACCCAGACCGGTTCGAGGACGATCTGGTTGCCGTCGTCATCGAGGGAAGGGAGCAGAATGTCGTCCGTCATGGTGGCGGAAGACGAACCCTTATCACCCCGGGTTCCGACGTCGCGACGACCCTCTTGGATATCGCCAGAGCTTGCCCCCGCCTCCGCCGTTGCTGCAGCTGCCGGTGTTGTCGAAAACGCCGCTGCCGCTGCGGCATCGGCCCCGTCTGAGTCTCCCGCAGCAGCACCCCCCACGACAGCGTCCTCTTCGTCCTCATCATACCAGCTGGAGGCGTCCTGCGAGACTGCCGCCCCCCGCTTCTTGCGGCCCTTGCCGAAGAGGACCGGGACGGCGTGCGGTCGCCGCGCCCGCCGCCGCCGACCCACGGCCGCCGCCGCCGAACCGTCGCTCCTCTCAGCCGGCCACGTTGTTGCACCTCGCGTGGAGGCAGTACAGGCATTTCCGGTCCTTTGAAGTGCCGACAGGCCTGCGTTCGGCGACTGGAAGAAGGCCAGGGTGCACGGAAGAGCGAGGAGGAGGGCTGGCGAGGGGTACATGGCCCTCCTTCGTCGTGTTGGCCATGAACTCGTCATGTTTAAAGCCTCAATTGTGCGTGCGCTGCTGCTCAATCGGCAGCGGAGCAAAGAGAGGTTTATGAGGCGTGTTTTTGGTTCTCAACAAGAACCACTTTGCGTTTATCTCTCCGCCTCCGCCTTCTCGTTGCTGCCTGTCTTCCTCTCTCTCTGTCTCGCTCTCTCTCTCTCTCCTTGGATCTTGATGGGCGCGCTCTCATGCATCCCAATCCCCGCACAATCCAGCTATGGAGGAGGTGTCTGAGGTGCTGCAGGTAAGTCGATTTCCTTGACCCTGACCACTTGTTGGTACTGGTACTGCCGTAAGGTACTATGTGGGTTCGAGCTGGGAGCTGCTTGAGAACATGTTGCCAGAGTTCGGAGACAGAGACAGGATTGCACTGTGGAGCACTACTGTCCTCCCCGCCTGCCTCCAACGGAATGGCAGGTTAGTAGAGATACGGAGTTCAGTGCTCCCATGGGTCACCAAAGTCGTCATGCACTTTTCTTGGTGTGTTACTTTGGTTGGCATGTTGGTATTTTGGGAATCGACCGCACTGACCTTTGACCAATGAAAAGACGTCAACCTTACAGCGGGAATGCAAAACGCGCGGACAACGTGCGTTTGGTCTATGGGATCCCTCCACAAGGCCAGCAGATGTGTGTGTTGTCACCCCAGATGTGTGTAGAGACAGAATCACCAGAGGACAATAACGTGGTTGGTGTTGAGCGTCACGTAGCTTTTGTGTTTTTTTCCATGTCTTGACTCACAACAACACCGAAGGAACCCGCTCGTTGTTTCCCTCTTCGACCTCCATCATACCCACAGGGCAATGGAGGGGGCTATGGGCAGCTACTACCACGGCTTCGCCAGGGAACATATCGTGGTGATTTTTTTTGTGTGATATGGAGCTGACCGACACTCGGGATAGAGTACTAAATACGACGTCCGCAACCGCACATCAAACTATGGATTATCGCAGGTAGCCTTACACCCTGCCTAGTACTGTCGGCGCTGAATGTCTGGTTTCTGCTTTCACACCAGCGCGGGTGAACGCACCGAATGTGTTGGCGGCTTCTCTTGCACAGGAGCGTTTCGTTGCTGCCGCCCGCTTCGCTCCTCATGTTTGGCACAACAAAACGAGGTATTGACCTGTTTCCCCCCCCTTACATGTACCCTGAAACGCGCTCTACAAGGCCCATCGAGAGGAGGACGACGCAGAGCGCGTCAAGCACTTGCTAGACAAGGGCGAACAGAACCTTAGGTTCGTCCTGCGAAAATACCGGGTGACGGAACCAAGGCCGCCGGAATCTCTAGGAATACCCGAGAGAACAAGGACGAAGACGACGCGGCGGCGGCAAGCGGCAGCGAAGCAGAGAGCGGCACGTCAGAAGGAGGCCGAAGGGGCGGCGGGGTGGAGTAACGACAGCAGCACTTGGACTCCTGGCCGATGACGATTAATCAACGGCGACAGCAGTGGTGGCGCGACAATGAAGAAGGCCCAGGGACTGTTTTAGCCTGCAGGAGGAGAAGGGCAACAAGTAGCCGACCGAGTGGTAGTGAGCTAGCCGGGGACAGGCGTACTCTACATTACACGCAGGCGCATGCGATATGAATTCGAACATTTTCCCGTACGTTTGTAGTCCATGTTGTGCACGTGTCATCATGTACATTTGGTTCAACAAGACGCGGAGAGAGGTGTACACCACTAGGCACGAGAATACTCCGGGGCAAGAACCCCGAAAAATGTCTGATGTTAATGTTGATGTTTTCTACACGGACGTGTCTTCACCCTCCTAGTACGGAAAGCCCAAATGCTTACACTTTCGGGACACAGCACTCAAAGGCCTATTTCACCGCACCGTAGACACCCTAGGCCCCGCAGTGTGAAACGCACGTGAGAGCCTGTGGTCTATCATGCTTGGCTGAGGTGGTACGCTGTGTGATATGCTGTGTGGTGCCTCTCCTCGGCCCCTGACTTGCTGTACACCATCTCCCAAGCCGCATGTCCCCTAGGTCGTAAAACTGTACATCGCCTGCTACTGGTAAATAAAATCAAATTCCGCGTAGTTGGGCGGGTGGGACGGCTGTTATTCTTATTTTCCCTCCGTTAGGGTTGGGGAGGCTTGTCACGAGTGGGCGCTCTCTCCAAACCCTTGTTGCAGATCATCTGCTCTCATTCACGGAACTCCTTCGTGGTTCCATGATTTCGACATTATTTTACCGGCGTAAGACCCATGTTTATGGTCGCCAAATCTTTGAAAAAAATCTTCAAATGTTGTCAAACATTTGCGCGCGAATATCTGCCAGAGGAACATTTGAGTACCGTTTTTATGGGCAAAAAAATCTTTATCGTGTGGTTTCTCGAAATGCATCGCACGTGCGGCGGGAATCGTGGTCTACTGCTACCAAACGATTTGTGACAGACAAACCACAAATGCGTCATGGAAACTGAATGTAACGAGCTCGCCAAGGGCTCCCCACAACCCTTGATGCACTGAGCTGATGCTGTGCCCGCCAATATGTGGCGATAGCGCTCCGGGCGTGCGAGAAAAAATGTTCTCGGTGTCAAAAAGAGACCAAAACGTGCGTCAGCGCTTCCCAACGGCAAAAAGTCGGCCGCTTGAGAGGACACGTGAGCACAAAACTATCCAGCTCTCGTCCTCTAGACCATCGATTCATGTTTTGTCTTCTTGGGTGTCTTCTCCATCAACGACTCTCATCCGGTTGTGCGTGGGTTGGCAGTGGCCGCGCTCAGCCGGCAGGGAGGCACATCGTTATGCGCGCAAAGTTGTGGACACAACGTTTTTTTCGGTCTATTTTTTCACTTGAATATAGAGCCCTTGTTCCTCCGTCCCAAAAAAGACTTTTTCAACACATCGAGTTCACAGCGACGCGCCTCCCTGCCTGTTGAGTAAGTTCACTGCTGAACCACGCACACCCGGATGAGAGCCGTTGATGGAGAAGACTCCCAAGAAGACAAAACATGAATCGATGGTCTAGAGGACGAGAGCTGGATAGTTCTGTACTCACCTCTCCTCTCAAGCAGCCGACTTTTTGCCGTTTGGAGACACAAACCACGCTTTCTCCGTGCCCTCCAAACCACCCCTGTCTGTTTGTTTTTTTGTGCACGCTTGACGAGCTCCCGCCATGTATCAGCCGGCAAAACATTGACACGGTGACTCTAGGGTTGTCCGGATCCCTCTATGAGCTTGCTACGTTGAGTGTGCGCTACGCAGTGGTTGGTGTTTAGGACGGAAGGGGCGGTCGTCTACTAATCCCGCCTATCTTGGGAAACATTTTCGCGACCTGCCCCATTTCAAAATGTTTGAGAATATTTTGTCAAACGAGCGACTTTTGCCCCATTTCAAAATGTTTGAGAATATTTTGGCGAAGGTTTTCTCCCATAAACAGTGAAACAAAATCTTTGTCCGCAAATGTTTGAAAATATAAACATTTTCGCAAAGATTTGGCGACCATAAACATGGGTCTAAGCGAGATTTTCTTGCAAAGTAAGTTTTTCTCTCGCTTCCGCTTCTGGCCTAGTGGATAGCGCTAGTTCGTGTGTACACAGAGGGAAGAGAGTGCTGAACTCTTCTGGTATTAAAAATCGAAGGCAAAGTACCGCAGGAGGGGAGGGTAGAGAGGGGCTCTTCTGTGTGACCACGGGTTGGAGTAAACGGCACTAGTGCTGTGAGCGCTGATTTGAAGTGAAGACAAAAAAATAAAAAAATCCAAAAGCCGAAAAGCGTTCAGTAAAGCCTTCTTGCAACGGGAGATCGACGGTCTCCATGTACAACCGTTCCTGCTCCTGTTGGCTCTGGACTCGCCTTCGCTTAAGGACAGCCTCTCCCCGTTGGATCGTGGGCCCTACATATTGCTGTGCAAATGCGCGTTTTCCATCCGACAAGATCCATGAGGCCTTCTACCGCCGTCCTCGCTAGCGATTGGCTCACCGCTCCTCCTACCCGGAACGAATGCATAGTATCCTGGCCGCCTGCATCTCCCAGGCGGCCGTTCCGTATATGAGCTTGTAACGAGGCGGTCATACGCGCCGCCGACCACTGTGACGACCCCCGCGGGCCGTCGGCGTTGACCTCGGGGAATAGGTACCCCTCACGCATGTTCCAGCCTGCTGACTTAGCTGCGATGCAAAACTCTTGGATCGCCCGCAACGGGCATAGCTCGGTACATTGGCGATCTCGTCGAACTACTACCGCGTGCGACGAGCTTCGCAGGGTCTTACCGAAATGAAAAATGAAAAGCATCCCCGTCCCGTCAGGAAGGTGCAAGACCTGTGCCGCCCACGCGCACGCCAAATCGAACCTCGTTGCATCGTGTGAAAGGCGGTGACGATCCCCACGTGTCATGGGGACACTTTTCATTCTGCACCCAAGTCACCCTTTGTCTGGCAAGGAGCTCAGATTCTTTGGAGGGACTGTAGCCCCCCGACCAATGGCTGACAAACATATTGCCGACTTTTTTTTCGGAGGGACTGGGTACTGCTGTAGGAGGGTTAAGGACACCGGGTGAACCCCCCGCGAGGATCTCGACGAAGAGCACTACTAAATAAAAAACGGCCGGTGTTGTAACCACTTTCAGTTTTACAGCGCGCACCACACCTTGTTCGGGAGTAAAACGACCTCTTTGACAGCAAACAGCAATAAACAGGACCTGGTCGTCTTTCGCACCCGCGTCAGACTAGTTGTGCGCACAAATCATCCAGGCCAAAGCCCCCAGATAAACAGCTCTCTCGCCATATTGCGCCCCCCCCCCCGTCCCGAACTTGCTTGGCTGTGCGGTGACTCTCTCCAATGCGAACCGCTGAAGATGTCACCACCGCAAGCACGTCACAACAACCCCCTCTCTACACGTGAGGCCATCATTGGCTGTGGTTGGAACAAGACCGAGCGGTCCAAGTCAGCCCGAACATGCAAACCCTCTTCTCTTTCGCCAAAAAACCTCGTTCCATCTCCCGGGGTGTGGAAACGGGTTTTTACACACGCCGCCTAGGGTACCCAGAAAATCAAATCAGCGACAGGCAGTCGCCGTATGTAGCCTCTCCGGAGCATGACCTGTGCTGCCATCCTGACAGCAGTGACCTATTTATTTTCAACTCACACAGGGCCGATTCCAGCTTAAGATACGGGACAACCTCCGTTCCCGCAACAGAGTGCAACACTCCGTACATCCGCTTGACACAATCGAGCGTGTGGGCGATTCTAACGTTTACACCCCAATACAGTTTCCCCATTGAACAACAAACCAACAGGCATCGTCCAGTCTATTGATTGCATTTGCGGCGAAAGAGCCGGTGTAGTGCCATCGTCTATTTCGCCACAGCAACAGCAGTCGAGTTTGATCGATCACAGCAGTAGCCGAAGGGTGCTGCCTGCTGAATCGTGTCCGTCCAAAGCTCGACGCGCTCAACCCAACAAACATCGACACTCATGAGGCGAGCATAGCTACGGATCGCATCGGGAACACGACATATCTATGCCGTGCTCGTACTAATCATCCCCATGTTTCCATTCTCCCAACAACCCTTGCCGAGCGGGGCGAAGCTTGTCATTTTCTCTGCCCGACCAGGCCCCGTGCTTCTCTGTATCTAGCCGCCCGCTGTGACATCAACGCCACGTCGTGCAATCGGCGCAAGCCCGGCCACATAGTCCAACCCGCTGAATCCGACCTGGCGGACTAACAACAGGCCTGACAGCTCCCCCCCCGTCGGGGCCAACCCAGCCCGGCCCCAACACCTACGCATCGCGCTTGAACGAGACTTGGGAGAAACGATTGCTCCACCTTATCGCACGCGTTGCAGTCTACTCCGCTACCGTTTCTTCCGCAGGGGGTGCCGTGACCTTCGGGGTTGGCTGCGCGCCTGGGGGCAGCGTGGTGAGCTTGATGGCAACCAACTTCTCCTGAGCGTCCACCTTGATCACCTGCAAGACAGGGGGGGGGGGGGGGGTGTACTCATAGTCTTGCATGCCGTAGTCGTTAGACCATTGACCTCGCATCCCTACAAAGCCGGGTCGGAGCACGCCGGGTTTTCACCGGATCAGCCTCTCACATCACCAAGCGCGAAGCGCCGTGAGGTATTTGGCGAGTCACATGAAGGGGGGGGGGGGACGGAGCATGAGCACGAGGAGCAGTGAGCGCAGCAACGTTTTATGGTGTGGGCGTCCGCCTTCATTATCGGAAATAAAAGAAAAAACTGTCTGTTGTCTATAGGGTTCAAAGGGGAAGCTCGGGGGGCGGGGGACGGCGGTTGACCATGATGCTTTGTCTTCGGCGAAAAATTCGACATCCTTCGAGACAGAATCGCGTCCTGTACCATCCGCAATCTACAGAGTGGTCCCAAAAGCGGGAAAGCAAGGGAAGGGAGACTCTGTCTTTAACAAGGGTGACCACAGTCGCCACCGCCAAAGAGCGAAAAAAAAACAAAAAAACTTGCCGAAATGTGGTAACCATTCACCCGAGAGAAAACTCTCGGGATGCCACTACATGGACAGGAACAAATAAGAAGCGCAAATACGGAGCTGGGCTACAGTAGTAACCATGTCTCCAAGGACTGATGCACGCTTGGCACTTCCGTGTGCACCACGGCCTCAACTTCGCCATATGTCGAACGACGCACCGACGCCCTCAAGAAAAAAGCCTATTCGAGGAGCAGACTGCCAAGTACGCCAAGCGCGCGTTCTCCCCAACGGCAAACGCCGACACGGAACGCACAAAAACAACTACATTGCACACAAATTGACGTTGCCAACACGCCATCGAACGTGGTTGAAGACACGCGCGTGTCGCCTTGTCACACAGCGAGGTCGACTTGTTGGATGCCGTCCAAAGTTTCTTTCCCCGATACGTTCTGCACTCCTCCTTCCGTCCCAGATATCACGATGCAAGTCTGATGTCCTCGGCCTCCTCACCTCCGCATCCACCCCAGGCCCGAAGAACGCCACGTACTTCTCGACGCGCTCCGGCTCCACCCACCTCTTGAACGGCGTCATCTTAGACTGAAACACCATGGTGAATCCCAGCTCGCCGTTTGGTTCAATCGTCTAGGAACCCCGTCCAGGTGAACAGCAGACAGTCGGAGTGTGTGGGAAAAAACGCGTCGACAATCACAACCTGCTGTGTTGCTCGATTCAGGGCGACTTCAACTTCAGCGTTAGAAGTGGACATTTGAAAAAAAAAATGGCAACTGTTTATGTGCAAGGTATAAATGTGCGGTGCGCCCACGGGGCACTACTTCACATAGTCCGTTCGCATGGTAATGAGCCAAGTAGCCTTGGAAAAAAGGAAACAGCAGAGCATCGGTAGCGATACTTTGACAAGAGTTACGGGGGAAGCCTCTCTTCTTTATTAGGCCTCTGTCCTTTTTTAGGCCAACACCTACCTTGTATCCATGAACCGCCCCGCAGAGATGCGCGCGGTACAAGAGACTACTGGCAGAAACGGGGTCGTATTGTTCACCCGCTTGCAGAACGGCGAGAAGCGAGACATGTTGTGCCACAGCCATCTGCAGCTTGCTTTCCGCACTCCCTTGTATCGCTTGATCTTCTCGCTCCAGACCATCCAATTAAACAGGCAATCGTGTACTTCTACGACGGGACGGGCACGTGCGCCGAGTTTTATGCACCGCGGTGACCGAGATATCGCCAACAATAGAACCGCGCTGCTGTTCACACCCTCCTCGATTTTGACGGGAAGGAGTGCACCCCCCCCTCCACCCACACGCACGACAACTTCAAGACACGGGGGCGGTGCGTGATGCCGTACCTGAGAGATGTACTGGAGCTGCGGGTAGTCGGACTGCGGCATCACGAGACCAAGGAACTTGACGGTCGTGTCCAAGTGCGCCTCGTCTCCGTACCGGTGGCGGGTCACGTCGCTCTTGATAGATCTGATCGTCTGTTTTGATGGGGTTTTTTACATTGCGGGTCGAGTTTCGGGGCACACACACAACAGGGGCACACTGTCTTTTTTATGTAATTTCTTTGTTGAAATGTTTGGGCCCAGGTGTTGAGTAGAACCAAGGATGGAGAACGAACACGCGATCTTCCCGCAGAGTTTGAAGCATGACCGCCGCGAGGATGGTTTGATCAGTAACCACGACAACAGCAGTGGACGCCCCCCCCGACCCCCCCACATCTAAACCTTCTCGGTATCCCTGCCGAAGACATGCTGCCCCGCAACAAAAGACGGAGCTAGAAAGCATGAAGTGCTGCCGGGGGCATCAGCAAAAGCGACGTTCGCGTGGTTTTCTTCTCTCCCTCTCTCCCTCTCAATTGTGGGCCAAAAAAAACGAATCTACAAGTAGAAAATGTAGCCCAATCACGTGCAACGCACACCTCAGTTGCCTTCTCCTCGAACAAAGCCTCTGCCTCGGGTGTCGTTTGAAGTGGCGCGGGGGGGAGTTCGGCGTACTGCCGGGATGCGGAGCGACCGGGGGATAGGGGGGGGGGGGAGTCAGTCGGCGGCAACACGAAAAAAAGGCTGCGGCTGTCGCAGTGTTCAGATTGCTGTGCGTTGAAGTCTGAACACGCCAGCGTTATGGCCTATTGCCAAAGATCCATGACTTGATAGCAGGTTTGTTTAGCTCGAGGCCTTGGAAGGCGTCCGCGCCACATAGACAAGCAGTATGGACGTTAGCACGCGCCGAGCAAGAGATTGGATCATTTCTTTCAACGTGAAGACAGTAGTAACACCAACAATCTGCGTTTTTATGTTGACTTCGTAAATATCTGTATGCCATTCAGTATCCCCGTGAAATGAATCGATTTCCATTGATTGTTATGCATAGCAACCGGAGTCTGAATGGACGCTCCCGACGGATTGCCAGGCGCAGACCAGCACCTGCGCTGCGACAAAACAGATCTCTTGCTGTCGCGCGTTTGATGCTTCCGCACTTCGTCATTGTGACTACAAAAAATCAACCAAGGAATCTTTGTACCAAAGGAGACAATGAGTCCAGGATACGTTAGCAGTTAATCACAGCAGTGGTATCAACCTTTGGTTCTACCAGGTATAGTTTCTACTAGTCTCTTGAGGAGGTGTGCATACGAAGTACAGCAGTATCATGGATCTGTCGTAGAGTAGATACCGCTGTACTGCAGCAGTATTTTATTAATACGTACAGCAGTAGTCAGCAACACGTGGTGTTTAACCTATCACATTGCAATACCAATCTACCACACCGCACACATGCAGACCTTCAGTGCGAGCCCGATGAGCGCGATGGGGATACCGTAGACGAACCCGATGCCGGAAAGGCCGCCCGCACCGCCCGTGGAAAAGTACTCGTAAAACGAGGCGCACGTGATGGCAAGACCGGCGAGCGCAGCGGCGTTTGCCAGCGAGAATCCCCGGATCTCGAAGGGCGCCTCGCCGGATACGTTGATGCCCCCGCCCGCCCACTGGCTGGGCCCGTCCGACTGCATCTGTGACGAAGCAAGCACGGAGCAGCGTGTGCAGGAGAAGCAAAACGTGTTGTGCGTTTGAAGTTTGAAGACTCTGAGACTCTGTGCTGGCATCAAAGGTTTGGTCAGATGTTGTGCGGCCAAACTCAAAATTTGCAGGACGACAGACGTTTGATGGCAGCAGCCTCATCATGGAAGGACATACTACGAGGAGAGCTTTGAATTGGTGCAAAAGGCGTGTGGCAGTACTTTTCGGCCCACTGCCCGGCACTCAGCTGATTTGTTCGTGTGGGCGCAGCCGTGGTTGCCGCTGTAGACGTGCACATGACTCGGATAAGAGCAATTCTGGTTCATGTGCTTGCATACGTTGCCCTCTAGCAACATGACGCGACCCTCGTCATCACACGTAGCCGCAGGGTTTGCTCGACTGTGTACAGCACAAATGACCCCCTCGCGGCCGCTCTACCCTTCCTCAACAACGAACCTGTAGGGCAAGCCGTTGCCTGCGGCGGCCGCCGGCGCGGTGGTGGTGGAACGTGTCGGAGGACTGACTCCTTGCCGAGACCAACACTCGTGCGTGTTGTTGCTGGGAAGAAGATGCGACCAGTCCTCCCGCCGCCGCCTGTCCGACGGGGGCGACGAACGCCGTGCACACGTCAGCCGCGGCCGCAGCCACCACGCAGAAGTGGCCTACTCTCACCATCGTTGTCTAGTGCGTGATGGTCGGCCTCGTGTGGTTGGTGTTCGAAGGTTGCGAGAAAACAAACAGCCAACGCAGCAGTAGTTCCGACTGTGAGGGTGTTTACTTTTCACGCGCGAGACCCGGGGACATAACCATCAAATCCCCGGGTTTCGAACTCTGATTTTCTGGTTCTACCGCACACAGCGCAATATCCATGTGCTTAAAGGATACTCACGGGTATCGTCCTGCTGCACACGACGCGTGTGCCATGGGCGTCGGAGCGAGCATGACCGTGCACAGTACGTTCAGCCTGAGTCTCTCTGATCCCGTCAGGGACCAACCATGTGTGTTTGCGAGAGAGAATTAAACCCTCAAATAAAACGCTTCTGTAATCTTGCATGTTTTTGGGTTTATAGCGTTTCGAGTCTACACTGCATTCGTTCAGTTGGTTTCACTCGAATTCGCAGTCCGTATGCGTACGTTCGTGCAGATAAATTTCACACAGAACGATCGTTAGGAATAATTGCATACTGCTGTAGCGCCTGTGTTTCATAATACCCCGGTACGCGACGTTTTTTCTACGCTGAACGGTACGGATCGAGGGTGAAACACGGCGAAACCATGAAACCATGCAAAGCGTGTTATCCTACCGAAATGTAACAAATCCATCTCTTTCACAGATTTCATTTGCCGAAACCGATGGAATTCAGCCGGTTCATCAGTCCCGTAAGGTCTTTCCGTCCGCTCTCTAGATCGTATTGTTCGGCGTTTTCGTGCATCCATGCATTCGTTACCAACGTTTCAGCTGACCTGCTGTACGATAACGGTGAGCGCACGTGGGAAGGTGCTTCACAGGCGGCACAACCTGGAAGTTTGACTTTCGCTGCTTTCATTTGCCCCGTCGACCATTAGGAGGCTGATTTCATCCATAAAAACACTGGTATTGTACACAACAGTTAGTCCAAATGCCTCCCCATAAGAATAAGAAGAACCAAAATGAACACCGACGACCCCTCTTCTTTTAAGCGTCTACGCAACGTTTGCTTCTTCTCCGACAACACTGGACCCGTCTACCGTAAGATACTGTTGGTATGTACAATGCTGCTTCAGACAGCGCGGAAAGTCCACCACTGTGTGAACGCACAAACAACGGACGGCCTACTACACCGTTCACCATCACACCCATCTACTGGAAAGCAAAGCGCCTTGGTGGCATATATATGTGTGTTGCGCTACAGCTGCACGTGCTACCGCACGACACTGAGCTGCTATATGCACGCCTATGGAAAAGACGGCAAACCCCGGCCTCTGTTTGCGTTCGTGAATTCCTTTACGACACGCCACGCCGACTGATCAATCGAAAAAGAAGCCATGTGGTACAAAAAGGTCTCCAAGTACGCCGCCAATCAATCGTCACTAAAGATGCTGCTGCCGCTCATGCGGTTCTTTGCAAATGCAACGTCCACTACTATGATAGGCACGACACACGCACGGCGTACACCCGAGAGATGACTCGACAGAAGACAACGCCCCCCTTGGGATTCCCAGACGCTGAGAATACTGTAGCGCTTCGGACTGTGTGGGCGTGTTATCGTGAAGAGAAAAAAAACACCAGCATACGATGTACGGGCAAAAACAACAAGTAACCATCACTCAGGGCTCACCAGATAAAGTCGCGTAACCGACGGAGTATTAGATACCCTGCATGCTTTGTCGCTGTGGGCTGATCAATGATAGCTCTACACACGTACGCCGAGCGATCGCAACGGCGCTTCCTACAGGAAATCGGTAAATGTATTTGAATTCGTTTACCAAAAACGTGCGTCCCCATCCGCCCACAACGCCGCAGGTTGTGAAGGCAATGTGAGTGAGCGCAGCTCTGGTACAAAGGTCCTGCACGCACCACCCACCCCAACCACCAACCCGCATGCAAACGACGCCTCTACTGCACACCAAGCCCGGTAACAATGAAAACGCACGATACCTCCAAGTAAGGAAAAAAACGAATCAAAACATACTTCGCATGCAGCGATCCCATTTGATCATCAAAACTACCACGTGTAGAACGACTCGTCGCCTTCGTCACTCTCGCCTTGCTCCCCCCCCCCGCCTTACGGGCGATTCCATCCAACCGATTACTCGGCCCGAGCGAAGTAACGCGGGTTGCTGTACCCGTCTCTCTTGTTTGTGAGGTTGACGTCCCCCTCCCGCTTGTGCACGGCGCAGTAGCTGGCTTTCCGGTCTCCGTCCCTACCGTAGCTTGGCCCCTTGCCGCAGCCGGGGATGGAGCACTTCCGGCTGACAACGTTTACCATGCTTCGGAATTTGACAACAGGCCGTGCATTCGGGCGGGTGTGAAGCGATACGTTAGACGGAGAGGGGCCGTAGAAGAGCGGGCGGCAGTCGTCCTGTTTCATCATCCTGCTGAACCCCCGGCTTGCAAACCGATTCGCTCGGGGAGACAGATAACTCGGGAGACAAAGCCACACACAAACAGAAAACTCTGTTGTAACGAGTAAACCTTCAACAATGCATCGTTAAACGAACCCACCTTCTTCGAGACCAGTGATCACTTCACGAGACTTAAAGGTTGGAACAACACAACTTCGAACAAGTGGCGTTCTTAATTACATGAATACAGCATAGCTTAGAGTGCTGACATCATCTCATAGTCGCGCAGGAGTAAACAGCTCACGTACAAGTGACGGGCAACAGCAGCAACAAACAAAAAACAATTTCCTCACCCGGGTCGTTTGTGCTGGGCGCAGTAGGACGCCCGGCGGTCCCCTTCGTGCCCGTAGCTCGGGCCGCGGGTACAGCCCTCCTCCTTGCACCGCGGCGAGACCACGTTCACCTGCCCCTCCTGCTTGTGCCTGGCGCAGAACGCCGCCCTGTGGCCCTCGAACCCGTACGACGGGCCCCTCGTGCAGTTCACCTCCCCGCACTGGGGAGACACCACGTTCACCATCCCGTACTGCCGATGCCCGGCGCAGAACATGGGCTTCCGCCCGTCCACGCTGTGCCCGTACGACGGCCCCCGCGAGCACCCCGGGTGCTGACACCGGGGGGACACCACGTTAACCTGGCCCGGTAGGCGGTGCCCGGAGCAAAACACCGGCTTCTTGACGCCGGGCTGCCCGTAGCTTGGCCCCCGGCGGCAGCCCTCGTGGGCGCACCGCGGCGACACCACGTTCACCTGGCCCGGAAGGCCGTGGGCCGCGCAGAACGTGGCGCGTTTCTCCCCCTCCCACCCGTAGCACGGCCCCCGGCGGCAGCCCAGGTGCTGGCACACCCGCACCAGCTCTTGCGGCTGCCCGCCCGCCCGCCGCTCCGGCGGCGGCGGCGGGGGGACGTGCTGCTCTCTTCCGCCGCCGCTGCTGTCGCCTGCTGCTGCTGCTGCTGCTGCTGCTGCTGCTGCTGCTGCCGCTGCTGACGACGGATTGCCTCCTCCTCCTCCACCGCCCGCCGGCCCGTTTGAGTCGTTATAGGTGTTTTGCTGCTGCTGCTGCTGTTGTTGCTGGTGAGGAGGCAGCGGCGGTGGCAGCGGCAGGAAGTTGGCTGCTGCGGCTGCTGCGGCGGCTGCGGCCGCGGCGGCTGCGGCGGTCGCCGCGGCGCTAGAGGCGGCGGGGTTCGGCGGCGGCAACGAAGGGGTAGCAGTTGTCTTCCTGCGCTTGTTCGCTCCGGTGCCGCTACCGTCCCCTTCCTCCCCCACGTCGATATCGGTTCTTCCCATGTCTGGTCTTTCTGACCAATCCGCCATGAAGGCACCTGCAGCGCTTCTTGCCGCTCCTGGGTCTACCCCCGCCCCTTGCTGTCCCTGGCCACCGCCTCCTACTCCCCCTCCTTCTCTCATCGCCGCGCTTGCAACTGCGCCTGCCCCTGGCACCCCCCCACCAATCACGCTGCCGGTTGGAACCACCATTCCCATCGGCGTGCCCCCGCCTGACGCTACGCTCGTGGTGGCTCTTCCAAACATGGCGCCTGGAGGGCTCCCGTTCATCCCGCCCAGCATTGCCGCCGCCATGCCCATGTTCATGCCGCTGACATCGGACGCAGAGAGCCCCGGCGGGTTGTTTCTGATATCTACCCTTGGAGGAGGATAGCCCGCGCTCATCCCGGGGAAAGAGTTTGTCACAACGCCGGCGGAGGTGCTGCCACCGATGTTCCCGTTGTTACTCATACTGCTGGCGTTCGTGCTAGAAGAAGGTAGTGGCAAGCGGCCGGCCACGAGGGGTCCGATGGGATTGCTGCCGTACGCCTGGCGATTTGTAGTAGAATGGAATTGTGTGCTGTCGCCAACGCCGCCGCCGCCGCCGCCGCCGCCTCCACCCCCGCCGTCTTCTTCCCGTCCGGCCACCGTCCGCCTGTTAACGTCTCCGACAGAGCCACTGTCCACATCACCACCACCGCCACCCTGGCTGTCCTTCACGCGCCCAACGGCGTTGCTGCCATTGCCCCCGTACGGCCCGTGGGGCAAATGTTGCTTCCCTATGGGCAAGAGACAGTCAACGGGGGGGGGTGGGGGGATGCCCGGTGGAGAGAGACACCAGAAGAGAAGGACGGGGTTTTGTTACTCGGAGACTGGAACGCATGGAATCAAGTGCGCATGAAGAAGGCCATGCAGCGTTGGACGTGCGACGCCATGCTTGCGCGAAATCGTGCGGAGACTCTGCCCGAGTCATTTACCCGCGACGCGGCCTCTGAATCCGTGTGCTGCTCTGTCTGTTCCATGGGGCAGTGTGCACACAGCTGGATGCAGCCACATATACGACACGCGCAGCAAGTGATACCACTCTCGTAGAGATGCGAGATCCGAAATACCCGTATGCGCATTCTCTTGACAACTATCTATCAAGAAAATGCCGCACGCAACACTGGGAGAAGAGACACGCCTAAAACCTTCAACACCCAAAACCTGGCAAGTTTCTGGCGGCATGCTGCATGCCAAGCAACCGCTACTTGGGCAGGGCAATACTTAGGCAGGGTATTGCAATTAGCATAGTTTCTTCGCAGAGCACGGAAATATCCAAGACAAAAAACAAAACCTTGCAGGTGCCTGCCGACAAAAAAGGCTTCACGTGTTTTCCTGTGACGGGGACCTGTCCGCTAGTGCACTGCTGTGAAAAGAAACAGGCGTGTTGCGAGGTGTCTGGCGCACGTAGTGTGCCGACCGTCAACTCCATGGCCCAAACGGGAGCAGCGGAAGGGGGCTCGCCGGCAAGGATTTCTACCAAAGACCTATGGGCCTGCCACAAGGTGGCAAGATGATCTACGACAGACTTATGTACAGACAGAAGCTGTGCGCTTTCGTCAGCGTGGCCGCAACGAATGTCTCCTGCAGGTGCCATCATCGCTGCGGTACATTTTTTTTTTCTGCTGCCGATATTGGAAACATCCGAAGACAGTGTCCAAGGGACATCGGGCGAATGATTCAAGCATCCCCACTACACCTTGACGACAAAACGGGGGTTAGAGGGTTCAAGAAAAAAATAATCACCCCAACCACTGCTGTATCGCTGAAACTGATGAACCGGACCCCTAGCAAGATGCTGCTAGCCTTCCCTACTACATACTGTAAGGAATACGCGCCCGATAAAATCTGATCGCCAAATGCCGTACGTTCGTGGCGTGGGTCAACCCGAAGGTTCTACGGGTGGTCCGCGGATAGCTTGACGGTGTGTACATGTTGTGGGCTACACTACGCCGCTGTGGTTACAGGGGTAAAGGTTGCTGTTTCTAGACGGACACGGGGTTGCCACCGAAGACACATCCCTCTAGGATAAGCAATAATATGGTGGATTCACGGCTGCAGAAACAACCAACAGACGGTTCGAGTGGCCGAAAAACGATAGGACCCGCGGCAGGAAACAAACGAGCCCAACAGATGAGAGAAAGTTTCTCGGAGTGCCTGTGAACTCATCGGGAAAAAACGTCGAATGTTTGATGGAGATCTTGCCGGTGACTGACCGGGTACATACGAGGACCTCTTATGATTCCCCAATTGCCGTAGTGCTGCTGTAGAGCAGGGATAAAACTGCCGTATTTCGAACGTCTCATTCACGACGTGATACGAGATACAGAACGCCCATTCACTAGAGAAAGTGTCACCAAAGAAATTGAGGTCGTTCAGTTTGCAACTACGACGACTTGACGGTGACAACAGGGACTCAATTCCGAGGCATCAAAAGGAGCACAGACACGCAACGGAGGCGTACCACTGCCATGGCAACAACCAAGGACGGGATCAAGAAACGCGGCCGTTGCAAACACAAGAATGTTGTTCAGGGCGAAATTAATCTGTCAGCAGGTTTAGCCCTCTTGACGCTCTGCGGAAATCGGGGGGAAGCGTACACGACGTTCTCTTTAATTTCCTTGCCCTGAACGCATGTTTTACGTTATATTCACTCCAGAAAAAGCCTGTAGTTGCCCTCCCCTCTTCGTATAGAAAATGCCCACCGCGGAGTATCAAACCTATCCAAGATCTACAGCAGTACACGAGCAACATTGCAATCTACTTGCATGAACGGGTGGGCCGGAGGCCTCGACAAGCAATTAAGTGAGGCAATGTGCTCGGACTCGAAACTAACGTGGACGCAGAGGAGAACCCAACCCATGGCGAGCTAGGGCGAAAATTTAGCGGAGGTCGGTGATATCGAGTGCGAAGCACACTGTCAGCTCCAGCGCTGTAATGTAACTCGTGCAATTCCAAAGGTTCTGCGTCGAACCCTGCCTGTTGGTGTATAACGAGGGACCAGGTCTACCGGCGTGTGCTTTCCGTCCATCCGTGTTCTCTTGTTTACTTCGAACAAGAAAGGTAACACAGCACACAGCCAACTGCCGAACGTGTGTCCACTACTGTATCAACACAAACATCACAAAGAAAAGCTACGGTTTGTCCCTGCCCTCTCCCCGGGCAGGACGGGATATCGAACGCGTGGGGGGAGCGGGGATACTCAAACATTGGGGCGGACGCACTCGCCGTTAACCTTGTTCATGTAATTTCACGCTTCTCGAGGCCGAGAATTTTGTCTACCCTTAGCAGCGGTTACACTTTGTACAATTTTTCTTTGTTTTTATTTCTGCTTTCGGTATCCATGAAAATTTCTGGCTTGTCCTTTCCTGTGGCCGTTGGCGCTTTGGGCACCTTCCGTTTCTGTTATCTCCGGAAGCCGCCATCTTTCTTCTCGTGGCGTTTGCGTACGTACCACACCTTCACCGCCTCCCGTTCTTTAGTACGCCATTCCCTTCCATCTCGGTTTCCGCTTCTTCCCGCGAGTACAAATCACATTCCCTGTCATAAGAGCCGTGGTGACAAAAGCTCTACTCTTTGCCGTGCCGCGCAAGGGCACACGCGTTCTCGGCAGGCGAAGGTTTGAATCTTTCCTTCCTCTCAGTTAAAGTACAAATAACGAAAGAGTTGACCGTCGCAACAACTTCATGTGGCGCATGCATGGGATGCTCTTAAAATTCTGCCAGACCACCGCAACAGCATCGTGCCATGCGATCGCCCGCGCGGGGGCGTGAGCGGATGAAACCGAGTTGAAATACGGCGAAAGAAAGAAAAATTGAGAGAGGGTAGCGGAGATAGCGGAGAAACGTTTGAGAGAAACCGAGTTGAGAAACGGTGAAAGAAAGAAAAAACACCCGAGAGGAGGGTAGCTGAGATAGCAGAGAAACGCGTGAGAAAACCGAGCTGAAAAACGGTGAAAGAAAGACAAAACCCGCGAAATGGGTAGCTGAGATAGCGGAGAAAACGGTGAGAGGGAGAAAAAACCCGAGAGATGGGCAGCGGAGATAGCGGAGAATCGCTTGAGAAACCGAGCTGAAAAACGGCGAAGGAAAGAAAAAACCCTGAGACACGGGTAGCTGAGATAGTGGAGAAACGCTTGAGAAAACCGAGCTGAAAAACGGTGAGAGGGAGAAAAAACCCGAGAGATGGGTAGCTGAGATAGCGGAGAATCGCTTGAGAAACCGAGTTGAGAAACGGTGAAGGAAAGAAAACACCCTGAGACATGGGTAGCTGAGATAGCGGAGAAACGCTTGAGAAAACCGAGCTGAAAAACGGTGAGAGAGAGAAAAACCCGAGAGATGGGTAGCTGAGATAGCGGAGAATCGCTTGAGAAAAAACCGAACTGAAGCGGAGAAACGCTTGAGAAAACCGAGCCGAAAAACGGTGAGAGTGAGAAAAAACCATGAGAGATGGGTAGCTGAGATAGCGGAGAAACGCGTAGGAAAAGACGGGCCGAGACAACCAAATCGAGGTGAAAACGGTGAGGGAAAGAAAACGCCGGACCTACGACAGTGGAAACATGTTCCAAACAGGATGGCTGCCATGCGGCGCCCGTAGCGCTTTCTAAAACAAAGTGGTACATCCCGCTTTCTTCGCCCTGCGGGCCCAGCAGGTGGCGAGAGGC